CTTGTTACCCTTTCTGCCATGATTGTAAGTTTCCTGAGGTCTTCCCAGCCCTACAGAACTATGAGTCAATTAAACCTCTTTCCTTTATAGATTACCCAGTCTTGAGTATTTCTTCATAGCAGTGTGAGAATGGACTAATACGCCAGCTGAAAATGTTCATATTTTCTCCCCAGTCATGGAATCATCCTTTCACCTTATTGATCCTCTCTTGCCTTTATTTAGAGTTTTATATTGACCACCATCAAAATTAAAATGGAATTATGAAATATAAGCCTATGAGCACTTTAAAAAAGGAAGGAGTAATTGTTAGTAGCCAGCATCCTACAGTCAGGGCAAGATACATCAGCATGGCTGGGTGCGGTGGCTCATGCCTGTAATCCCAGCACTTTGGGAGGCCGAGGCAGGTGGATCACGAGGTCAGGAGATCGAGACCATCCTGGCTAACACAGTGAAACCCTGTCTCTACTAAAAATACAAAAAATTAGCCAGGTGTGGTGGTGGGCGCCTGTAGTCCCAGCTACTCTGGAGGCTGAGGCAGGAGAATGGTGTGAACCTGGTAGGTGGAGCTTGCAGTGAGCCACTGCACTCCAGCCTGGACGACAGAGCAAGACACCATCTGGAAAAAAAAAAAAAAGATACACCAGCATAATGTCATTTCCTTTTGTGATAAGATTGTGACACTGAAAGCTCAGGAAAATAACAGAGGCATCTCCATCTGAGCAAGGCATGTGACCAAATCCTGAAGTGTGGACCAGGTATAGAAATGGTGAGCTGCACAGATTCCTAGCCCCTGGAACCCTCCTCTCCCAACACTGGGGCCACCGATACCCCACCTGAGGCTCAACCTTGCCCTGTCTCAAGGAAAGAGGCTATCAGGTGGTCTAGCCCAGGTCACAACACTGGCCAGTCTAACTCAGACTCTGTGTAGTATTTTTAGTCTGCTTTCTCGCTCCTGAAACCAAGTCCCCACTTGGTGTCCAAGTTTTAGTGACTATGTCTAGTTCTTATTTTTCTTCTGTGCCTCAGGGTTCATTTTTTACCTCCAGTCCCATGTTTTAATCTTAATTATAGCTTCTCCTAGAAACTGAAGTCCTGTCCTTGAGCGTGACTTATAGCTGGGGCTTTTGATTCTAGATTGTTTTCCTGATGCAAATGTGTCTTGGATTTCTAAATATCTGCCTCTGTAATCCCTATCACTCTGCTCCTTTTAGAATAAGCCCATTATGGTATGTGATCCTCATTCTCTGCCTTGCCCAGCTGACTACTTGCTTGTTGTCTGTTACCATAATTTCTAGATATTGGCTGCTGCCTATATCTGGAACTGAGTTCCCTTCAGCACTGACATGTGGATCTGTCTTCTGATGCCTGACCTCCCCTTTGGCAGGTATACTTTTATGTAGGATCCTTTCTAAGTTGTCCTAACCTGCCATTCCTGACCATAGATAGCCAGACTGTCTCTCATGACTGCAGAGTGTTAGCTAATTAAACACCTATGTATGTGGGCGGTTGACTGTGGGGTCAATGTCAGTTTTTCAGAAGATCTTTAGAGGATACTGAAGGGTTCTGGATTTGATGCTGCTGCGCTGTTGAACTTTTTTGTTTCAAAGGCTAGAAGAAAGCTGGAGAAAGAATGTTTATCAGGTTTTCAGATGATCTGTAGCTCTTGGGAAGTAGTAAATATAATCCTTTAATGCTTTGAGAATATTCCAAGACTACTATAAAAGGGCAAGACAAGTAATAGATATATTAAAATCAATAAATGTAAAAACCTTTACTTAGGTTCTAAAGGTAACTTCCCAAGTACAGGGAAAGAAAAAAATCTATTACCATAGTGATCAACACTTGACAATCCAGCAGCACTGAACTACAAGTAGCTCCTTTTTACATCATGCTGTTTCTCATTCTCTGGCTTTGACTTGACTTTTCTCTTCCATGAAGAAATTCTTTCCCCACCGCTTTCATCTGCCTAACTCCTCCCCATGCTGTAAGACTCAGTCTCCTCCCCAAAGCCTAACTGAACAACCCAGCAGTGCTATTTGCTTTTCTTCTGTAGTTCCATGTGTTCCTCCTCCTGGTACTGAACACATTATGGAATAGGTATATGGTTGCATCATTTCCCAGAGGAGGCTGTGAGATCTCTAACAACTGCGGCCAGTTCTTCATCTTTTATATCCAGTGCTTAGCCAGGCCGTGGCACATAGTGAATGTTGATTAAGTATCTGAAGATGCTGGAACAGGCTTGGTCCTCCTCTAGGAGTGAACCCATACAAGATCTAAAATTGCTTTGAGTTACTTTTCTGAAATCTACCTCTGAAACCTGCTTTTTTATCCTTGTCTGTCCCTTATTGAAGGCATTTCACTTTGGTTCTTAATATTTAACTTGACTTGCTCCTCAGATGATTTGTTTTTAGTTCTCCCTTGCTTTTGGGCCTACCTTCAACTTGGAGTTCATTTTTCATTTTCTCCTCAGCCTGGGCCCCCAAACCCAGGACAAGGACTGGCCTGTTCACTCCTCTGTCCACATGCCCAGCTTCTGTTCCTGAGACCCAGCAAGGACGAAAGGCATTTCCTCGACTAGCCCTGTCCTGCCCCCTCTATCCTCCCAGCACGCACCGTGCTCTCTTTGGCTAGGATGATGGCTGCAGCAGCAGGGCCTGGGGCTTTAGTCGACTTCAAGTATAAGACAAGCGATCAGCGTGCTATAGCTGCAAGAAAAGCACATGCTTTTGCATAATTCACGAGTAGAGTATAATAAATACCATGAGAGGAAGTGACTCCATTATACTCTAAATAGATAGATCCAATTCAGGCATCACATTTAAGAATAATACAAATTTAGTTCCTCTACAGAAAGCAAACCAGAATGCAGAAAGATTTTCAGGCCCTATTCTGGAAAATGGATAACCCAGGGGTACATGAGTTCAATATAAGAATACCTGTTATAGAAAAAAGGTGTCAGAAATAGCATAGCTTTCTAAGTAGAGATTAAATTAAGTAAAGATTTTTGCTTAGTATCACAGAAATTTCCTCTCAATAAGAACTATTCAAATGCAAATGGACTGTTTTAATAGATTATAGTCCATCATTTTATATGTATATTTAAAAAACATAATATGTAATCATATATAATTTATAATATATACTTTTATATTTATATCATATTATGTATATGCTATATTTTTTAAGAGTGTTAGGAAAAATTCCTGGATACTAGATATTCTACAGAATATTTATGCACTCTTGAGGGAAATTGGACTACATAACCTCTAAGATCCCTTTAGCTTCTGAAATTCCAATCCTGTGAATGTATAAAGCACCCATGTCAGCCTATTTTGTAAATTTATACATGTCTTATTGGTCCTACTATATTGCAAGCTCCTTTTATACAGAGATATTATATCTAATTCACCTTTGCTACCCTTGTAACAGTACATATATATTATACAGACTTGCTCAATAGGCATCTGATGCATAAATGTATGAATGTATGAATGTATGGATGGATGAATGGATGGATGGATGGACGAATGGATGGATGGATGGATAGATGAATGGATGGATGAATGGATGGATGGATAGATGGATAGATGGATGGATAGATGAATAGATGGATCAAACAAAAACCATGTGGACTTCTCTAAGATATTTTATGTGATCTTGGGAAATCCCTCAATTCCTTTCTCCAGTTAATGAAATGAACATTAACTAAGGATCCTACTACCTGCAGTGTTGGAGGAAATAGTAAATGTGTGAATTTAAAGATGCTGGAAACGTAAAACGTTAGGCAAAAACAGTAAAACAGTATTTTGTTAATGATATTTGTTCCTGTCTCAAATCCTTCTATTAAAATTTAATTTTTTTTTCAAATTGTGGAATTTTGTAGCTGACATTGAAGGCTCAGATGCATTTTTATCTGAGATTAATTTTTTTTACTATGCCATATTCTTTGTAAGAAATCTTTACAGAGCCATAAAATCTTTTTGTGGCATGGGTTAGAATACATTAACTCAACAATATGGCTTTAGTTATACTGCCTAATTTCAATGTGAGAAAAATATCTACTTCACTATTAATTATTAACAGTAGCAGAAGTAGCATAAACACATATTTGTCAGGGCTCAAAGCAAGAAACTATTCCATTTTTTTTCCCCTAGGATTGATGAGTTTGTCCTTGCAGTTCACATCTGTTGGGCTACGTGCTCCAGCCCCAAATCCCACCTGATTTACCATATTCACGAGCTAACACCAGGGTGAGCTCCTGATCAAAGCCAGATCCATCACAGCCAGCCCTTTTCCTCAAAATCTGAGCTTGAGATTAAATATCAGCCTCTCTCCTCATAGCTGTGCCTATTACGTGTTAAATTTGATGCTCATTTTTGCCATGTTTCCCAGTGCATCCCGAATAATTGAGGAAGTCTTCCTGGGTATTCATTGTTTAAATTGCCTTTATAATGTATATGTATATATTATTGGGTCTATGCTGATTATAGTCTTCTGGGGAGCATTTATTAATTGAGATTCTTTGAGTTACAAGTAACATTTTAGGCAGTTTAAGAAAAAATCACAAATTTAGCTTCAGGCTATTGGTGCATCTGATGGAATGCAAGACCACAGAGCTAGATAGTGACGGTATCAGCACTAGCACCCTGCCTGCTGATTAAGCCTGTTTCTTGCACTATTTTCAAAATTCAATTATTCACTTATTAAAATTTTTTCTCACCTCCTGTATATTTTCAGTGATTGTTGGCCCTTTTTATTTTTCAAGTCCACTTCAAGTAGGTTTATGAAGATTGCCCTGGCTGAGGTCATCTCTTTATGAGCCAGAGTGTTTTATTTGCCATCAACAGTGAAAGCGTATTTATCAAACATGCTATCAATCTCAGTAACACAGAATCCCTATTAATGACATATTTCTGATAGGACAGTACAGTCAATATTACCTAAGTTCTTCAAGATTCCAAATTGCTTCCTTAAGTCTTTACAAGAAATGAAACAGAAACTGTAATTAGGTTTTTATTGCTGCTTCTTTCCATTAAAAAGTGTCAGTTTATATTTGCTACATATGAAAGCGTTAACAGAATATTTAATTAGCTCAAATCTAAGGCATTGCATTGCAGAGAATACACAGGCTTTATCAGAAGCTAGATTAGCTCTGTGCCACCAGAGGGCGACCTAACCTAATTATGTGGAAGTGTGAGACTGGAGGGGTTAAAATCGAGTTAGCCCTGAATGGTTGAGGGGCGGGAAGGGAAATACAAGCAAAAACATACACAATGGAAAATTAGAATAAGCACACACAAGCCTACAATTTTCCAAGTCTTCCTAGTCATAGGTCCTTGCTTCCAAAAAACTTGTTTCATTCATTAAGGACTGTTTGCTACCTGATATTTTAATGACTTGCCTTGGCTATTTTTAATCCTTGCTATTGCCTCATTGCAGGCGGCGGTCATCATTGAAGTGTTTCCTTAGGTTAAATAATTATGTAGAAAGTAATGCACTGCACTATTTGCAACTCACTGCCGAAGATGGAAAGGAGGCCCTGAGCCACTCCAAACACACAGGGACTCTCATGAGGTATTGTCCCATTACGTCCCTGTTTGCTTCCCCACTGTTATCATGGCAGTTGCTCTCATGGTCTAACCCAGATTCCTAGGAGTAGAGTACAAACCACTTTCTCCCCTTGTGTCTTCAGTAGTGATGGGAACAGCTTATGACACATACGAAAAGTTTTGTTGTGTCTTTTCCTTGGACTTTTCTTCTTCCACTGAAATAATGTGCATTCTTTTTAGCTTATTTTCAGACATTATATGACATTGCTACTTTCCAATTTTCCTGTTATTTTGATGTTCCCTTTTAAAACAATAGAGTTGCTTGTTTTGAAATTATTTTAACTAATAACAAAATTAGTTATTCTGGCTGATTTCATTTTTAGTTTTCCTCTTGTGGTGTCAAGCAGGGGTCCATCTGTGTGCCATTGGTGAAATGGTGGTTTGGTTTTAATTCAGACACATACCAGAGCCAGCCATTCAGTCTGAGTTCATGCTGCCTTCTATTCCTTCAGCAGGAGCACACGAAAGCAGTCTCCACACCTGTCTCCAGACACACAGCCCATCGCTGCCTGAAATCGGTGCTTTGATTCTCAAATGCAGTTACTGGGCAACTCACAGTCCCCTGCATACTGAAGGCCGTTTCCTAGGCAGACCACCGGCATAGCCCAGACTGCAGGGGCCTGTGCGAGGACGAACCTCTGAAGTTAGGTGGCTGCTGTCCTGCGTGGTGTGCACGTTTCTTACAGCATTCATCCCTAAGAATATCTCATGAAGACAATCTTTCCTGGGACACAAGTCAGGCAGCAGCTGCAATAGGTGTGGCAAGCTTCCAAGCTATGTGTCACACTGCAACCATGTGGGCATTAAGGAGTGTGTTTTCCTGGCTCCAGACCTGAAAAGTAACTCTGCCCAAGATAACTAGCTGCCCCAGGACTCAGGGCAAACAAACACACATGCTGCCTGGCCAATGCCGCGTCCTTTCTGCTCTAGCGAGAGACGCTCCTGTTAAAACATAAACACAACCTTGTTGGATGGAAGGGGATTGTCGCAAACTCACACACAGCAGGTGGTCAAAATGGAGGCATTATTTTCTTTAGTAAATGAATGATTCTTCTCCTCCTATTTTCATTCCTTGGGCTTTGATGAGGATGAAAAAGAAGCAAGACATGATCTGCTTTTTTCCATTCCCATTCTTACCAAGGGCAGTGGCAAATAACTAGTCTCTCTAGAGCTTAGCATATTAAATATTAACGACCAAATAAGAACAGAAAGTCTCTTTCCAGCCCTATGATTCTGCCTCACACAAAAAAGTACTTAACATTTCTTCAGATCTTTTGCTGTGTCAGGCACCCATGCTAAGTACTTGGTATACATTATATCATTTAATTTTCACCACAACCTTTTCAGGTGGTATTACTGTTATTCCCATTTTACAGATAGGGAAGCTGAGGCTGGTGGAGTATAGGAAATTTGCTCAAGTTTTCACAGCTGGTAAGCTATAGAGATGAGGTTTGAGTCAGCATTTGTAACCGTACTCTAGTCAGGACTTAAAGAGTGTACTAGAATAGAGCATGTATACAGGGAGGACACATTGAGTTCTATGTCAACAGTCATAAATCTTCACTGAAGAACTTATGTTGTAAAAATAGGTGTCATATCCTGCCAGTTTCTCTAACTGAAGGAAAATACCAGAATCTGATGGGCTTTGTGGCTCTACGGACCAAAGAAAGGCTCCAAGTTGCAGAGAACAGGTTCCAGCTTGAATGGGGCATGGACCTTTCTCCTACCTCTATCCCTCAACCCACTGAACTCACATGGCAGCTGCAATGGCCTGAGGGAGGGTGGGCCTCCCAAACTGCTCAGGTTTTAGCCTTCAAGTGGACATTAATCTTCTTGAGCTGTAAGATAGATGCCCCCTTATTCTAAATTAATACATGTTGCAAAATTGAAGATTAATAAACATAAATCAATTGATACCTACAGAGTATGTATCCGGCATTCAAAATCTTGCTGGGTTCTGTAGAAGATAAAAAAATACATATATACAACATAGCTTCTGGTGTGAATTTAGCTATTAGCAAGAGGGAGAGGACTCTAGGTTCCATGGCCACTCTAAGCTGTTCCCAATTCCTCGGACCAGTCACCCCTAAAGGCACATTCTACTTTTTGTTTCAGCATGACCATAATCAGTGGTCTACAGCAGTGGTTACTCAACAAGCTTTATGCTCTTAGGATTCCTTGGACTCTTAAAAGTTGTTGAGAACCCAAAGAGCTTTTGTTTATGTGGGTTATATCTAATAATATTTACTACCACATTAAAGATTAAAACAGGCCGGGCGCAGTGGCTCACGCCTGTAATCCCAGCACCTTGGGAGGCCGAGGCGGGCGGTGGGGTCACGTTCTGTGGTTTACAGCGTTTGTTTTTCCGCTCTTTGCAATAAATCTTGCTGCTGCTCACTGTTTGGGTCTGCATTATTTTTATGAGCTGTAACACTCACCACGAAGGCCTGCAGCTTCACTCCCGAAGCCAGCGAGACCACAAACCCACCGGAAGGAAGAAACAACTCCAGACTCGCCACCTTTTAGAGCTGTAACACTCACTGTGAAGGTCTGCGGCTTCACCCTTGAAGTCAGCAAGACCATGAACCCACCAGAAGGAATACACTCCGGACACATCTGAAGAAACAAACTCCGGACACACCATGTGTAAGAACTGTAACCACCGCGAGGGTCCACAACTTCATTCTTGAAGTCGGCGAGACCAAGAACCCAGTGGGTGAAACCAACTGCAGACACATTACCAAGGCCTAATTCAGGCCAAACTAGAGGTGGCCAGCGTGGCATGACTTGAGGGATATCTGGAATTCTACTCTGGGGAAAAAATAGTATCTTTGAAAACACAAATGAGAAAACTCATTTCAAGTGATTCAATTCTTTTAAAATGAAAATATTCCCCCCCCTCCCTATTAGTATAAAGACCACTCTCAGAACTATTGGATATTCCTGCCAGCTATGTCATTCAGGACTCAACAGAATACACACACACACATGCACACGCCCACGTGACACACACATCGATTTACTGCAGGAAATTATGTAACAGGGAGGCTAGGCACATACAAATCTGTAGGGCCGGCTGCCAAGAAGGGCAAGCTGGAAACTCCTGGGCAGGAGATGGTGTTGCAGCCTTCGGACAAAATACCTGCTTCTGCAGGGAACCCTCAGTTTCAACTAATTAGATTAGGCCCACCCAGATTATCCAGGGCGATCTTCCTTACATTAAATTGACTGTAGATATTAATCACATCTACAAGATGCTTTCACAACAATGCCTGGATTAGTGCTTGGTTGAATAACTGGGGACCATGGCTTAGCCAAGTTGACACATAAAACTGACCAGTGCACTACTTTATTGTAAATTTGTCTACTTTTCCCTTCCTAAAAAGTTTTATAAATTAAAAAAATTCAACACCTAGGAACTGAAAAATGAAAAGAAAAATACAGAGCAGTAAGATAGAGAAAGCTGGTCAAAAGGTGGGGAACAAAAGGAAGATAGACAAAGAAAGCTCAGAAACTGCCACAGAGAGACACGCAAAATTAGAGAGGGGTGAGGACAAGGGACAGGAACACAGAGGAAAGGGGTGACTGTTCCGGAGTTTAACTGCTCTTATCACTAACTTTAAATTAGGAATTCGAGAAATAATCATCATTCGTAACCCTTCATTTTCCTTATTCTTGGTGCTGAATGGAATCGCTGTCTGAGTTTGCCAGGTAGGAAAATATAACTCTTGGAGCTCAAGTGACTTTAAATGAAACTCATTGACTTGAAACCCTGGCTGGAGCTGGCGTCTGCGATACAACTTCCCCATTCCTGCACTCTCTGTTGAGATAGGTTTGGTTCTTGCAAGTTTGCCTAGGGAAAATGTGACCTGTCTCTTCTTTTGGTCAAGGTCTTGGGCTCTGTCGTCAGACCGTGTGGAAGGAATCCTTTAAGATGGTCCCAGTGAACTCCACCTCTTGATATTCATGCCGTTTGTGTTATCTCCTCCCTGTTAGTGTGGGCTGAGGCTAGTGATTTGCTTCTTATGAATAGCATATGGCAGAGTGATGTGATGTCACTTCTGCAATTAGGTTACAGAAGATAGGCTTGCATCTCGCTTTCACCCTCTGTCTGTCTGAATCTTCCCACATACTTGTTCTAGTGAAGCAAGCTGCTATGTTCTAAGTCACCTTATGGAGAGGCCCATGTGATAAGGAACTGAGGGTGGTAAGTGACTTGAGTTCTGTGCCTCAGTTAACTCATTTGTAAAACGTGGACAATAATAATACTACTGATGGCAAAGGGCTATTGTTGGACTAAATGACTTAATACATGTAACCAGAATAGTGCCCAGCACACAGGAAATGTTAACTTACTACTACTACTACTACAGGTACTGGTCTACTATGATCATTTAAAGTTCAGAGAAAGATCACCATGTATCTCCTTCTAGAGAAAAGCACAATGTTACTGCTGGGGAATTAAGAATAAATGCTGCCTCTTAGGGAGTTAGTCTTAAATTTTCAACATCAGCTTCCCAAGCTTCTGCTAGCTTCATGCAATTCTAATCTTGGGATGGCAATGTTCTTGTCCATAGATGGCCCCTGAGAGCCCAGTGCCTTGCTGAGCCCAGAATATTCAAAAAGATTTCCAAAGTATTTGGAAAATATCCTCCACAGGTATCTTTTCCAATTTGTCTTTTTTTTTTTTTTTAAATCACTTTGTGATTTTTACCCAAGATTTTCAGTGCCTGGTCAGGGAGTTACCTACTAAAAAAAGTAGAGAGGACGTCTGGCCTCAGAGACTGGCGAGGAATCACTTAACTGGAATGCTGAGTAGAGACTGCACCTGCCCTGTCAGTGATCTACTCCAGAATCTTGCAGGGCTTTTTCCTCAAGGGATTCTGACTGGGCTGCAGGGAGTGCAGGTGTCTGCAAAAGGGAAAAACCAAACTGAAGGGTCATTATTGGTCATGTCTCTTCCCTTAACTGTACATCAAGGCTAATATTTCACCCTCTCTACTTTTATTTATTTATTTTTTTGAGACGGAGTCTCGCTCTGTCGCCCAGGCTGGAGTGCAGCGGCGCGATCTGGGCTCACTGCAAGCTCTGCCTCCCGGGTTCACGCCATTCTCCTGCCTCAGCCTCCCGAGTAGCTGGGACTACAGGCGCCCGCCACCTCGCCCGGCTAATTTTTTGTATTTTTAGTAGAGACGAGGTTTCACCGTGTTAACCAGGATGGTCTCGATCTCCTGACCTTGTGATCCGCCCGTCTCGGCCTCCCAAAGTGCTGGGATTACAGGCGTGAGCCACCGTGACTGGCCCACCCTCTCTACTTTTCTAAGCTGTCTTATTGGGAATGAATGAATGAATGAATGAATGCCTCAATGATATCTTTAACACACCTGTTATAGTGAAAGGAAGCTTCAGGTAACGAATATATTTGATTTTTTAAAAACCTGGCAAAAGGTAACAGATGGAATGTTAAGTAATAGCTAAATAAGCCTTGCAATTTGGCGGAAATGGACCTGAACTCAGATCTCAAGGAATTCTTCTACTTCTAGAGATCCAAGAATGCCATAAATGTACCGTCTGTTGACCAAGGCAGGGAAATCGTCACTCAAGTGGATTTCAATCTATTCTCTTTTGTCCCTTCCCAAACTGCTCTCCATAAGCTTGCAGCAGTTGCTGTGTGGCCTTAGAAGTAGTACCCGTTAGCTGTGTGGATAATGAGGAAGAATAAACAACCTCTGAATACAAGTGCTTTGGATCAATCTGTAGGATCTAATTTGACTATCTCAAATCTAAAGTCATTAAGAGTTTTTTTTTTCTTCTCTGCTTGAACTGGAGGCATTAAAGCACAGTGATTTGGTTTGGCTTTAAAATTAGATAGACTAGGGTTTAAATCCCAGTTTAGCTGACAACCCTTAGGGAGATTTCTTAACCCTGACCCTCAGTCTCCTCATCTGTAAAATGGCAGTAAAAATGCCTATTTCACAGGGTTGTTGATAGCTATTATGATGACTTGAGAGAGAACATTTAAGATGGAAGGGCAGGGCAGGGGTGGAGAGAGGCTGAAAGTTGGATCTACCTCTGGGAGTGATGATTTCTGAAGAATGGCATCGCCACTCAGTAAAGCGCTTTGCGTAGTCCAGTATAACTGAGGGGTTGCGTGAAGCGGCAGTCCGGGCCCCAGGCCTTCCACATGACAACCAGCATCTCAGTCAGGGGAGCTCTCGGGTCCAATCAGTGTATTGTTGCCTCTGTTCTGCCAGTCTGAAAAGAAATCGTGCCATAGGGTTAAGCCTAATCCTATTTCCTCATGGGAGCTGCTTCTGACTACCCCAGCCAGTGGCAGTCTCGCTGGACACTCAACTTCTACTCCACTCCCTGGACACTAAACTTGCATTGCTGCTTACCTTACTGTACTATGTTCTTTTTTTTTTTTTTTTTTTTTTTTTTTTGAGACAGAATCTCACTCTGTCGCCCAGGCTGGAGTGCAGTGGCGAACTCGGCTCACTGCAAGCTCCGCCTCCGAGGTTCACGCCATTCTCCTGCCTCAGCCTCCCGGCTAGCTGGGACTACAGGCACCTGCCACCACGCCTGGGTAATTTTTTGTATTTTTTTTTTTTTTAGTAGAGACGGGGTTTCACCATGTTGGCCAGGATGGTCTCAATCTCCTGACCTCTCGATCCACCTGCCTCGGCCTCCCAAAGTGCTGGGATTACAGGCGTGAGCCACCGCGCCTGGCCTTACTGTACTGTGTTCATATTTTGTCTTTGAAACTAAGTTGTAGCTCCTTGAGGGAGAGAGGTAGATTTTTATCTCATTTGAATCACTCCCAGTGATAATATACTCATTATCTGAAGCTTCCTTTCCTTATAACAGGTGTGCTAAAGATACCATTTTTATCTTCTTTGAATCACTCCCAGTATTCACAGATGCTAAGAAGTGTGCTCCCCAACTTGGTCTGCGAATCCCTAAGGTTCTGTAGAGCTGACTCAGGTACCTCACCTACGATGAGATCACTGGGCACCCAGTGCCAAATCCTGGGACCACCATCCACATCTCTCCTGCAGCTTCAGCCAGAATAGCCCGTTTTCATAGGTTTTGCCTCTGGATGTCAGTGGTGATGATGACGATAGCGTATTTGTTGAACACTGGGTTTCCTCCCATTGTTGAGTATTTGGCAGCCCAATTTCCAACCGCCCAAGGGCTTTCTCTGGCAGCTGGAGCCGGCTGAAAGTGCCAGAGAATTAACACCCTGGGAGCAGCCTTCACCCAGTGACTGACCAGAGTTAGCGTCTAAATACCCCAGCTTCCTTGTTTTTCTGAGGGTGACTCTGAAGTGCATGTTCCTCACTGGTTCCCAGAGTTCCCCAGTGAACTGGACTCCTCATGCACAGAGGTAACTGGCTTGATAACTTGCTCCTTACTGGCTTCCTTCCCTTTCCTGTCTCACTTTCTCACTCTTACTGGTACTTTCTGGGATCATCTCCCAAATCAGGGTCTGCTTTTGGAGAAACCAGACAGTAAATCAGTATCTGCTCATTGCCAGTCACTGTTCTAAAAACTTTATAGATGGGCCGGGCGCGGTGGTTCACGCCTGTAATCCCAGCACTTTGGGAGGCTGAGGCGGGTGGATCATGAGGTCAGGAGATCGAGAGCATCCTGGCCAAGATGGTAAAACCCTGTCTCTACTAAAATACAAAAAATTAGCTGGGTGTGGTGGTACATGTCTGTAGTCCCAGCTACTTGGGAGGCTGAGGCAGGGGAGTCGTTGGAACCTGGGAGGCGGAGCTTGCAGTGAGCCGAGATCGTACCACGGCACTCCAGCCTGGCCACAGAGTTAGACTGTCTCAAAAAAAAAAAAAAAAAAAAAAAAAAAAAACAACAACAAAAATAAAATAAAATAAAAAATAAAAATAAGTAAATAAATAAATTTAAAAACCCCAAAACTTTATAGAGATATTGACTTTTCAATTCTTCAATCATCCTCTTAAATTTGTTTTTAAATTTTGCTTTTCTTTTTTAAATAAGAAAATTGAGACACGGCAAGGTTAGGTATCTTACTCGGGTTCACAAAGCTAAACAGTGCCGGTGCCAGGATTCAAAGCAAAGGGCTCCAAATTGACGAGACTCTGCAATGTGCTGATCCAGGCAGGTACTCTGCCCATTGGACGAGAATCATAGCTTCCTTGCAGAAGTCCTTGGCAAAGCTCATTTCCTCTCATTAACTCCTGAATCCTGTCTTTGTGTTGAAGTGTTTCAGGTCTAGATAACCTTTGTCTGTTGTTTGAAGGCATCTCTTTGTTAGAGGTGTCAGTTCTCTTCTTTTTTCTTTTTCCACACACCAAACTCAGTTGTGGAAGCCAGCACAGGGTCAATGCGGCAGGGAGAAGTGTGTGTCCTGATGTCTTGACTGAGTGACTCATTATTTCTGCTGGTTCCCTTGCCAGTGTCAGTTATTGTTCCTCCAAGGATGGTGGTACCAATAACAGAGATAGAAAGATTGGGAGGAAGGAGGAGCCAGTAGGTCTGGAAAAGGGCAGCTCATGGGGAGGGTCCTTACTTACAGGATAAATTCTGTTTTAGTCATGTTGCATTTGAAGAAATGTGATACACTCAGTTGGAAGTCTCCAACATACAGTTAGAAAAGTAAATCTGTAACTTGGAAGACCTGGCAATAAAGATCTGAGCATAGAGGCTGTGGTGGCTAAAGTCATGAAAGAGGGTAAGATGAGTCTGCAGAAAATGAAGGAGGTTCAAATTTGGAATCTTAGAGAACGTCCATTTCTGATGTCAGAATGAGAAAGAGAGGTCATCAAACGAAATCAAGAAGGAAGAGTCAGAGATGTAGAAGAGTCTGAATAGTGCTAGGACCTGGACCCCAAGGATGGGGAGTAGTTCCAAGAAATAGTAATGAACCAACAGGGCCAAATACTGAAAGGGTTGAGAAGAACAAGAACCACAATTAAAGGGTGCTTAAGGTGTCTCAACGTTTGAGGTCATAGACTATAATGTTGAGGTAGAAACTAAGAAGTGGAAGGATATGAAAATTGTGAAGTGACGTGTAAGTCATTGATAAGGTTTGGCTGTGTCCTCACCTAAATCTCATCTTGAATTGCAGCTCCCACAATCCCCACGTGTCATGGGAGGAACCTGGTGGGAGGTGACTGAATTATGGGGGCAGGTCTTTCCTGCGCTGGTCTCATGATAGTGAATGAGTCTCATGAGATCTGATGGTTTTAAAAATGAGAATTTCCCTGTACAAGCTCTCTCTCTTTGCCTGTTGCCATCCATGTAAGACGTGACTTGCTTCTCCTTGCCTTCTGTTATGATTGTGAGGCCTCCCCAGCCTCCTGGAACTGTAAGTCCATTAAATCTTTTTTTTGTAAATTGCCCAGTCTCAGGTATGTCTTTATCAGCAGTGTGAAAAATGGACTAATACAGTCATGCGATTTAGTAAATTAATATTTTACATTTGTAAAGGGCTATTCTAAAACCACCTTGACATGAGATTCACCAATCCCAAAACCTCCTCAACAGTGTTTTTACATGTAATAAGTACTTAAGTGAATGAAGTGATTAAGCTCAATCTTAATTTTCTTTTCCTTTTTTTTTTTTTGTTGTTGTTGTTGTTGTCTGTTATTATAGTTTCAAAGAATAGTCAATAATCCCTTAGGGAACAAGCACTCTAGGTGGTCACTAGCAAATTCTCACACATGTGTTAGCCATTTTTAAAAGAATTCGACCACAGCAAATTCACTAAACATTATAACTTTATAGAGGACAATATTTGATGATTAAGAAGACACTCCAGGATCTTGCTCTATGTCTGGGTCATTACACTGAATTTAATTATGAAGAAAGCAGGGAAAATAAATACCAGACAAGGAGCCCAGAGATCTGGGCTTTGGTCCCAGTTTTCATCAATTCAGTTCACAGTTCACCTTAGGGGGCCTTAGTTTCATCATCTGCAAGTAAGGTGTTGACTCTATTGGTGATTCCCAAATCAGTGCTGGTCTTGATGAGGTTTTCATCTCCTTTGCAGGAAAAGGAGAGAGTGAGTGATAAAGAGAGAGAGGCAGAGAAAGAAAGAGATTATGTAGTGAGTTATTCACAAAGTCAAATTTATTCTTAATTCTAAGATTTGTCCTTTTTACTGTCTTATGTTAAAAAGTCCTTTCTTTTATACAATGGTAATAGCCATTAATTAGCAGTTTGATTATCAATGTGCTTAAAAGCAACACAAAAATATGGCAACCCCATGATACAGCTGAAAATTGTCTGTAAATTTTTGCTGGTCTATGCACCCATTGAACTTAGACTCTACATTCTCAATTCCAGATTGTATGATAAGGTACAAATGTGGTAGTTTAAGATCTCTGACTTCTGTTTGGACCTCAGATGAGAGCAACAGGAGCCACCCAGCAGCACTGCAGGCCTCCTGAACTCTTAAGAGTCCACAGCATTCTGCCATGCTTGTTGGCGACGACAGCAGCATTCTGACAAGGAATTGCAAAGCAGAGCTCACATCCTAGGACACTGGAGCTCTGAATACTAAGAGAAATTGCGTGTCCTTTAGTGCAGAGAGAACGAAGATTTGCTTTGTTAGATTCATTGGATTATTTTAAAGGAAATTTCACCAACTCAAAGATACTGGAAATGAGATCTGCTCAGAACAGGCTATAGGGACAAGTTGAACCTGGGAGTTGGCCATATAATTACTACCCTGGAACCAGCATGAAAGTCAATTACCTACATTTTTACCTACTGAAATGTGGGTCTCAGCCTGGTACCTGAAATAAATGACGCAAAACTGTGTTCATCTCCTTACCCACTGTGTGCCCACCTATTTCAGCAGGAACTATTAAAACTGCAGCGAATCAGAGCAGATTGTTGCTGGCAGAAGCTTCAATAAATCTGTGCCACTGAATTACAGGAAGACTTAAAATGCAGAAATTAGAAGTCAAAGGCATTGAGTTTAGTGTGAGACTTATCTGATTAAGTGTAGTTTCATAAGCCACTAGATCTCAATCTCAGAAAGCCCAAGGGAAAACCTGAGGGGGGTGGAAGGTGACAATTCCACCTTCCAGAGGAAGTCATAGATTTCAATATGCCATAGCAACAGAATACATCTCTCATTAAAGATGCAAACATAATACAGCTCAGAACAAGCTCCCTAGGAAACAAACAGGGAAAACCAGTGTTGGTGTTCGTCATTAACTTGCAACACATGAGCTCTGCCCAGAATGTTTTGCTTATTGGGGCAGGAAATCATTTGCTGAAATCAGAAACATTGTGTCTTTTTTTGTGAGTAAAGGCCTCAAAAAAAAAAAATCGAATGAGAATAGAACTTTAAGAGAGGCAAGAATACAAACAGACCGGAAAGGCAGGCATTGGAAACCAACACAAAGGAGGAGGACAGGGAGACATCTGCAAGAAATAGCTAGGTGTTTTGTGCTGAGCACTTGTACGAGATATTCTGCTAAACATTCTAATCACCCAGTCATTTAATCTTTAAAATACACCCAAAAGTGGGTATTTTCATAAAATGCAAACAGGCTTTGAGAGTTTCAATTATTTGCTCAGAATCATGCAAATGGTAGAGTTTTGCCCAGGACTCAAACTCTTGTGTTGCTAATGTCAAAGCTGTTGCTATACACAATGATTACAGTATAAATGTACTTTTAAACAGAGGCTGACCTGCAGGAAAATGCAAATAAACTACTATAATGCTGGTGGCTTAATCTATTGCTTTAACAACCCTTTCCAACTGGCGACTCCTTGAAGATGAATCAGCTCAATGGATGGAACCTTGCAAGACGATCTGCCTCCTAGGCTTCCGCAAGTGTGCTCAGCGTGCCTCCATCTCCGCAGTGCCTCAGAGGTTGTCCCAACCCTCCGGAACAAAACCCCTTGAGTGATTTAGTTTCCGGAGCCTTTCACCAGAATGGCATATTAACTTTGGCCTCATAATGTAATCCTCCAATCTTAAAATATCAAAAAGAAAAAGAAGGAGAAGGTGAAAAAGAAGGAGTAGAGGAAGGAGAAAAGAGGAAGAAGAAGAAGGGAGGAGGAGGAAGAAGAGGAGGAGGAGGAGGAGAAGGAGGAGGCGGTGGCAACGACGACATTTCCATGTGTTCAGCTTCAGGAAGGTATCAGTGACTGGATCCTTGCCTGTGTTAAGCAGTTGCGATGTCTGTGGCTTTTGTAAGCAAGATAATGCACGTATCATCAGAAAAAGAAAATTTGTTTTTTGTACCTGTCCCCTCTCTATTGAAGAAAGGAATCTGAATCAAGGATTTTGGTATGGCTTCCAAGTTTTAGGACAAAGGTATATTAGTATACCAATTTAGTAGCTTATTATAAAGATCTTGGAAACTAATGATAATTTTTTCTTAACATTAAAAAATGACTTCTGTAAAATGTGTATACCATCATTCCTACTGGCACCAAATCAAAAGCAGGTGTAATCTCAGGAGTTATTTCTTTCTGTTCACAGGCTTCCCTGGCGACAATATCTTCTTGCCTTATCACCAGTAAAAGAGCTTCACAATTTGAACACCTGAACAAAAAGCAGGGAAAAGTGTTTTTTTTTTCTTTTTGCTAATGAAAAACATACATAAATCTTCAGTCAGTATATAGATAGTACTTGTGTATACGGTGAGATATTTTAAAAGATGGTAGCTAGCAGAGTCAGCTTCCTCAGCTCTACAGTTCTTTCCATCATTTCCTTTTATACTTTTCTTAGGCAAAACCTGAGTCAATGCAGACCGAAGCCATGAATGCAATTAATGGAAGAAATGCATTTTCAGCAAATGGATGATGACTCCTATAGTTAGGAAGTGAGGCTGAAATGGAGAAAGATTTAGTGTTGTGTAGAGTTTAATATATTGCTAATAACATGGGTGAAGGCTATCTTTATCAAGTGTGACCCCTTAGCTTCCGTGTCTCCAAGCATGGGAAGTCCTAGCTAGTTAAAGCTGAAGCCTACCTCCCCTATGGCTAAATGAACGAAGATTTATGAGGCTTTTAACCACAATGAAGGGGCCAGGGTCTTTGGACAGCAAATAGAGTGGAGCTAACTGGGCTTCCTACAATTGAATCCGTGTCCTTGGCCTCATTGAGACCACTTGGGCAACTGGCTACCATGAATAATACGATATAGCAAATGAGATACTGACTTATATGAGTGTGGACATTTTCATTAGCATTTTAAAACTATAGCAGTATTACTGTTAAGACACAAATAAGAGGCCCTCTTATGTGAGAAAACCCTCAAGACCAATACTTTGAGAACCTGCCAGAGGAGAAAATAATACATGAATTTTATTTCAATAATCAGGCTTCAGATTTTGTCAGGCCTTTAAAATTATGTATGTAAAAGGTATAAAAGTGCTATAACAATAAAAATGAAAAATTTCTGGTTTGGCCCCCACCTGCTGTTGATATTGGCCGCACAGTGCCCCAGCATTCAAAAACAGCAGGCTTCGAGGTCTGACTTTGAACCATGCCAGCATTCCAAAGGTATTTCATTTCTCTGTGGTGTGCACCTAATTGAAGTCACAATAATGGCTGATAGCTTTCTCCAGGGCTTTAGAAACCTGGGGCGCTTTGGGTTTTTCTTTAAAAATGTAGTAGCTACAATACCCTCTAAGACCTAAGGTCCAAATCCTCTGGCTCTCTAATAAGAGTAACTGGTTTTGAGAGAGACTCAGTTTAAAATATAGGCTGTGTGGAAGCAAACCCAACATGTATGGGGTATGGGGGGCATGGAGGTGGTGTATGAACCTGATGCTTTCCACTTTGCTATTCTAGAAGCAAGGCAGTATAGTGGAGAAAGTACTGAAACGTATTGAACTTGGAGTCAAACAATCTCCTCTTACTTGGAGAAGGTACTGAAAAGTATTGAGACTGTTTTACCCCAAGTAGGAGGAGATTGTGTGACTCCTTTTACTAGTTGTATGAATTTAGACAAGTAACTTACTATTAGTTTATTCTCTCCCAGTCTTAATGGGTGAACTAATAGCAAAACAAGTATCAAAGCAGTGTCTGAACTACTATTTATTTATACCTACATGACGACAACATCATTATTGGTGCATCTTTGAGAAATCTTAGAGAATGGAAGAAGTACCAGTAGATTTCAAATAGAAGTAAATGTCCACCTTCCCCAGTTTACAGGCTGAAACAACAATCCAAGACTCTACATGCTGAACTCCAGAACAATCTTAGATTTTGATGATTAAACAGCTTACTTTTGGGCACTCTAGAGGAACACAAAGACCATCAGGGATCCAAGTGGATGCACCAATGGTGTTACAGAACTCCATTCTTCCTTCTTATGTGGTAGGTTACTTGACTGATATGGGAAGTGGTGTCCCAGGTTACATATCTGTATTTTAGTAAAGTATGTAAAAAAGGCATTTGTAGTAGCCCCTATGAACAAGAAGAAATTTGGGCTGCAAAGTCATATATTTATGTAGGTTATTTTTAAACTATAACTTTTATTTTAGGTTCAAGGGTACATGTGCAGGTTTGTTACATAAGTAAACTGCATGTCATGGAGGTTTGGTGTACAGATTATTTCATCACCCACGTCATAAGCATAGTACTCAATGCGTATTATTTTTCTGACTTGGGTAAGCTCTTGACCATTAAATAAGCATAATCAAAAGTATGAAAGTTAATCAAAGAGGGCCTCTATTAGTATTCTGAAGGTATGCCATATCGCAGGTTAGTAATAATTAGCACCTTGCATGGCATACTCTAGCTTTAAAAATATCTTAAAGGTTCACATATAGAGACATCAATACATGATTGTGTATTATAATTGGAAGGAATATATATATACACACACTGTATATATATACACACACACTATATATATACACTATATACACACACTATATATATGTGTGTGTGTGTGTGTATATATATATATATATTTTTTGAGATGGAATCTCGCTTATGTTGCCCAGGCTGGAGTGCAATGGCATGATCTCAGCTCACCGCAATCTCCACTTCCCGGGTTCAAGCGATTTGCCTGCTTCAGCCTCACAAGTAGCTGGGATTGTAGGCATGTGCCAGCACGCCCGGCTAATTTTGTATGTGTGTGTTTTTGTTTTTTTTTAAGTAGAGACGGGGTTTCTCCATGTTGGTCAGGCTGGTCTCGAACTCCCGACCTCAGGTGATCGGCCCACCTTGGCCTCCCAAAGTGTTGGGATTACAGGCTTGAGCCACCGTGCCCACAGTTACTCAAGCACTTGCACGTGATCAAGATGGAGAAGAGCTGACTTTTGCAGTTCACGTGGGAGGAAAAAAAAAAGTAAATCTAGAAATTCTAGTTAACTCCAAACACAGTAAGTGTCATTGATGTTTCCCCAAAAGCCAATCCAATATTAGGCTGCACATAAAGACTGCCCAAAACAAGGATGGAGAGCACAATTCAGGAAGAAGACAACCTGCAATGCTTATATGGCCATCAAAGATGACATAGGCTCTGGAAACTATACTACAGGGAAAGTTGGGGGTAAGAAGAACCTTAGCCAGAAGAAAAGAGTGGATGGTGGGCCATAGAGACAAGCATGGCAGATGTCTTCTAAGAGATGAAGGGCTACAATGTAGAGATGGTTTGACTTGTTCTAGGCAGGTTTCAGAAGAGGCACAAGACCCAAGCTGCAGCCTCTAGAAGGTAGCAGTTTGAGTACAATATAAGAAAAAAACATTGTTTTTCTTAGCATTTCTGATGTTCATCAGAGATTGTGGGACCGAAGCTCAGGAAAGAGATCTTAAGGTAGAATCAAGAGAGAGAGGTCGTCCACAAGGAGGCGGTAATATGCAGCTGTGGAATGGCTTGGGGTTTCCAGCGTCTTCCACCACCATCAGCCCAGAATTACCACCTTCCCAGTTGCACTTCCTCCTAAATCTACATCTCCTGTCTGGTGCCTTTTGCCTTGAACAGTCTCTTGCCTCGGAGCTTCTCGGCCATCAAACAGAAGGGGGCACCCTGCACCGTCAGTCTAGACAAGGACCAATCTAACAATACCCAACCATGGAAAAGGACCTAAGGCTGGGGGGGATGTAGGAGCCTTCAGGACCTGGAAGGGAACCTCCTGTAACTGTGCTCCTCTCTACCCCCGTTGGAGTCCACAGGGCTGGAACTCTAAAATGCAGAAGAAGGTTAGGGGTGGGCAGACAGGAAGGGTTGTGATGCCACCTGACTTCCAAACTGAGGATGGAACAGGAGCTCCCTGGGGTATAGAGAGAAGTCACAGCAACCCTGGACAATCCAGCGGTTTGGTAAAGTGTACTTACCAATTTTGAAGAGGGGAAGGGGTTCTCTTAAGGTGTAGAGAGGACTATCTAGGGAGTTGCAAACTTTGTTATGAGTGGACAATCACCCTGGCTCCTCACTGCACCGTTTTCTCCTTGCCCAACAAGGCACGCGGGTCCCGGCAAGATCTCTCTCTCTCTCTCTCTCTCTCCTCTCTCCCCCCCCCTCTCTCCCTCCCCCCCTTCTCTCTCGCTCGCTCTCTCTCTCACACACACACACAAACACACACACACACACACACGCGCACAAGCAAAGTGGGCAAAGCGAGCAAAGCGAAGAGGGTTGGTACCCAGTCTGGGCGCGCTGGAGCTAAGCAACTGGCCTTTGTTTGTGAATCGGAGCAGTTTAGGGGACATCCTCCGGTCGCCGCGGGGCGCGCGCCTCCGCTGAGTGTGCGGTGCGGTGCCCAGCGGTGCGGGGGAGGCTCCACCGCGCCGGCCCAGGGCCCCCGCACCGCCCCCGCCGGCTCGACGCGCCCGGCGTTGCGCTCTCCACCGAGCGGGCGGCCGCAGCGCACTTGGCTGGGGCGAGAGGCGAGAGGCGAGAGGGGTGGGCGGACTGCTTGGTTGGCGTTGGCGCTCTGCAGTGCAGTGGAGTGTTAGCCCAGCTCCCTATATGGTCGGGGATTAGCTAGGCGCTGCTGAGGCTGAGGCTGAGCCAGGAGCCGGAGGAAGAGGAGGAGGACGAGGACGAAAAGGAGGAGGAGGAGAAAGAGCGCAGCAGCAGTCAGCGCACGCCGAGCGGCTGCCGGGGGAAGCAGAGGCGCAGGAGGCTGGGGCACCGCCGACGCCTCGGGAGCCATGGCCGAAGGGGGAGAAGGAGGCGAGGACGAGATCCAGTTTCTGAGGACTGTGAGTCTCCGCGGCGGGGGCGAGGCCGTGGGCAGGCGGGGAGGAGCGCGGAGCGCGAAGAGGAGGGGCTGGCTGCGCTGCGCCGCGCCGCGGTGCCGGGTGCCCGGTGCCGGGCGCTTTCTCCGCACCCGCGGGCTGCAGAGGCGGACCAGCCACCTACCCGCGGGGCCGCGAGGGGCTGCGTGGAAAGGGGCACCATCTCCTGCCTCTCCCTTGTTCCTCTACTGCCACCCCTGCCCCAGACCCTCCACCTAGGACCGCTCGCTCTCCAGGCAACTTGCTACTTGGTCTGAAACCCTTGATGCCCAAACTTCAGCAGGGGTTTGTTCGTGGTTGTCCTGACCCAAAAGATCGGCGTTGGAAGCCCTCGCCCCGGGGTCGGCCCTCTGACACCTCCACACTCCACGCCAGCCCCATTCCTCTTCCAAGGCGCCCCCACGCACCGGGAAACCGTCGGGAAGGAGCCAGCGGGGCAGGGGGGAGCGTGGAGAGCCGAGTGGGAGAAGCGGGCGCAGGCGCTAGGTCCTAGCCCTGGGATCGCTCAGAGGGGAATTCACCCAGCGCTGCCCTTATCGTGTGAAGCCTCACGCGGGCAACTGCTGCTGGAGCCTGACTGACTGCCTGCCGTGGGTTCGAGAGCTGTGGCTTCTGTTCCCCGCTCCCGCGAGCCCCGCAGGACAGGGAAACCCCAGTCAGTGGCTCCGCGTCACTCAGGTCCCCTCCTTGGCACCTGAGGGCGCTGCTCCATCCCAGATTTGGGGGTGAGGGGGTGAAGTCTGTTGCAGCCACACCAGCCTTGCGCTATAGGAGATAATGCAAAGACTTTCAAGGTGGACGGCCACCCGGAGGGGTGGGGGCCTTGGGGATGCATCCTAGCGCTGATTTCAGCCAAGTGACCTTGAGCAAGTCGCATAATCCGCCCTACTTAGCCTCAGTTTCCTCGTGTGTAAAATAAAATATAGCCAGCGTTTCAGGGTGATAAGGATTAAATGATATTGTGAATGTCATAATGTTTGGTAAACTGTAAATTGGTCTGTAAATCTTAGATAATTTTATATGCACTGCTTAGCTGTCAGGAATTAGAATGAAATTCTTTCTTTCCCTCTCTCCCTCCCCTATAAGGGTGCCCACCCCCCACCCATGACCTGGTCTTCGAAGATCACAACTTACCTCTTGTCCATCTTTTGAACCACTCTCCTCCTGTCAAAGTGCTTCCTTCCAATTCTTTTCAGTTTCTCTTCCAAACGTGGTTCTTTTGTCAAAGCTAGGACTTGGGTCTTATTTGGGTGGGGGGGGGGGTATGGAAGTACCTGGCAGCCTGCTGGTACTACTGAGAGGCTACAGTATTCATCTCTTCATCCTTGGTCTGACCTGCAGACCCAGACTCCATTCTCATCTCTCACACTGCACACAAGATGGCCCCGTAGTTGCAATTCATGACAACCCTATTTTTATAAAGCTGCCTGCTCCCCTCAAAGCCCCATGAAATCCTGTGCTTGTCCCTCTGACAGGTGTCTTTAGTAATGGATGGGTGGCAACTCAGGTTCTTTCTGCCTTGTGTCCTCCATGATCAGTAATTTCTTCTGCTTATTATTAATGATCTTTTGGGCATTATTGCTTGAAAAAATTATCTTCAGACCGATAGGGTCAATGTTGAATAGATGTCCCAGGGAGTTGAGGCTTACGAAGGTGGTGGTTTTCGTGAGATCCTTATCTCATGCTTTTCTCTTGGCTTCTGAGCCATCTTCCCTGACTTTTCCTCTCCATCTGGCATTGTAAGTGTTTTTGTTTTTGTTTGTTTTTGGTACACCTGTAGCCAAGGTTTATTATAGTAGTGGTTCTTAAGTTTTGTGTGCTGGGCTTCCTGCCCTAGAGATCAGAGCTGGTGGACCTCTTTTAAAGTACACCCATGACAGCCTGTGGGGTTCAAGGACCCAGGTTCAGAACCCCTGTTGCAGAGAACTACATATCACTTATGGCTTAGAGCGAGTGCTGGAGGTAACCATAGGGGCAGTGATTCAAATGTGGCATTATTGATTCTTTTCCTTCTAGTTATCACCTTATGTATTTTTTAAGGTGTGTTCCTCATTTCTTCACCCTATGAGACACCTTAACATCTTAATTTTTAGTTCACTGGGAAGGAAATAGGTGATGAAACTGAAGCACAGAAAATCAAGTGACTTGGCCATAGCTGTTGACAAGTTATTGGTAATTTCCATTATACAATGTTAAATTACATTCCCGCTAGAGCTTGGCATTGAGCGTTACGCCAGATGTTATATATAGTCTTAAGAATATACTTAAGAATATAAGAGGAGTACTGCAGCTTTCTGAGCTTGGCATCCTCCTTCTTCATCCGTGAATTTGACA